AGACCAGCGTAAAGTGGAAGTATGACATATACTTTCGCGTTTCGTCTGGTGAGTGAGGTAGCCGGAGCCCAATTTCCAAAAAGGTTGTCAACGCATCTGCAAACCCTGGGTGTAGCAGATGTCTATTGGCGGCGGTATTCAGTTAACATCGGGTGAACCGTCTGCTCGTTTGGCAACTTTTCACATAAAAAAGCCACTCTCATTTTCTGAGGTGGAGTCGCTGGAGAAGAGGAGAGTCAGTATTTCCATCGGCTACTCGTAACATCCTCCGCGGCTCGGAGCGGCTGCACTGGTGACGTATTATTAGTGGAGTCGGGGGGAAGAGGTATGTTGGTATTGCAATACGCCTTTCTCTGTGGCCGAAACGAAATGAGCGTAAGAGCAGACCAGGTCCACCATTGGGAGTAGGTCTAGGAAGCTTGATTATAATTAGCAATTGCTTTCCTGACTCAAATGGCCTTCTTCAAATCAAATCACGGATCTCGAGGGAGTTTTGTGGCCGTGGCCACAGGAAGACACGAAGAATTGTGGTTTCCTATTCAGGCCTAGAGGAGAGGGGGGTTACTTTCCGGGCATGCTGTGGTGAACAGTGCTGGCAGGGTCGCGAAAGTAAAAGAAGCGTTCCTGTGGCCCTGCCAGGTGCAACATCGTGAGGTTTTTGACTCCAACGAAAATATCCTGTGGAGGTGGAGGTATTTCTCCCACGTAAACAAACAAGTGCGTGCCGGACTCGCACACGAAGGGTTCCGTACCATGATCTATAAAACCGGCAAAATCATGTGTATTGTACACATGATTTTGCCGGTATTCTGTTTTTTTTTAATATTTGATTTTTAAGCGGCAACAGAAATACATTATCTGTGAAAATTGCAACTGTCCATCAAGATTCTTGTGATGCCATCTGGTGACGAACGGACAGACAAATAGACAGACAGAAATACAATGGTGTTTTAAGAAATAAGGTCACGTTTTACACATTGGATATAGAACCCAAAGAGGTAACAGTTAGCTATTAACTAATTATAATAAAAATAACCATGAACACATCTCGATCTACGAGCCACCATTGGCGTGTTTATAAATCCATATCATTTCAGAAAAAATATGTCTCATCTGGCCATCACATGGGTACAGGTCGATCTCTTACGGGTTCTTCTACTAAGCGCAGCTACTTTCTTCTAAGCGCAGGTATTTAGGGTTATTTTATAGGCCCTCTACTATTTTTATTTTAATTACTTTATTGGCGCCTTTTGCAGTGAGTTCCTCATTAGAGGAAAAATAGAATATAATTATGGAAACAACTACTCATGTATGCAGCCGAGCGCGGAAAATACTTCGATCACGCTAATAAGTCGTATTTTAGTATCAGGCTTGAACGTCGGCTTGGCCATATAAGGCCATATAAGTATAGCTTTAGGTATAACGACGGCTTTCCTGTACTGAATCGGAATGGAGGCAAAGAGCGCCCTGCTATAGACAATATTTGTATGTTTTCGAGCCGCCATCTCTAACTATCCACCTGCGACTTCCACTAAAACTTAACTTCCACTAACTTACATTAATCACCTTTGGCGAAGTTATACCAATACAGGAGACCCCGCAAAACAGCGTCCCGATCAGAAAAGAGTACAACTGCTTTACAAGATCATTTCATGCAACTAATCACAAGACGTCAAACTAAGATGACCGCCCGAGAGGTAGGATTTCGGCATCAAAACTCTACTGGAGTACTGTACGAAGCAGACTGCAGGATTATGGCTTCCATCCACGACGCCCGATGCATCACATCCAAAGTAATCAAAGCCACAATAACTAGGGACAGCTTTATTTATTTATTAAAAACTTTATGCACAATAGCGTACAATGGCAGACTTAACACCATTAGGTGTTTCCTACCAGTCAACCGACAAATAAACAGAGAGAATAAGGAGGTATGAAATCTCCAGTAACTAAATCTATCTGAAGATAAAATAATGAAACCGGCCGTTAAAGCGTAACAAACAAAGCGTAGCTCCTTTTAGTTTTTATTAGCAATTATTCGTTAACATTTTTTGTCTCAACATTAATATGTTATTAATGTTGAGTGAATTGAGTTGAGAATTAAATATAATATGTTATTGTATCAGATGCATTAGCACCTGCTAGCTCAATAAAAGTCTCACATCTAAGCTGGAGTAAAGTAGCACGTGATCAAAGTAGATGGTATAGATCCGTCTTTGAAAACATTATATTTCACACACCATAATAAAGAGCGTTTTGCGTTTAGACAATTAATGTAGGCAACACATTACAAAAATCCAAAATATTTTTAAAGCTTATTCAAACAACAGAGTTTTTTATTAATAATAAAATAGAATATTTTTTTTTTTGTGAATAAAAAATTGTTGCAGTATAAAAAATTAGTTCAAGCAACCTTTGTATTTGCCACTACGTGAAATAAGAAAAGACTAACTTGAAACGTTTAACCGGTTCATTATTTTCAGTTACGTATTATTCTTTTCTCTTATGATTGTTTTTTAATCCTTGGTTGGTAATATTATATTATACTTTACACAATTTGTAGCATTTTCAATTTTTGACAGCTCTTCTCTAAGATTACTTTTATAGACGTATGTTGCACTTCTGCAATACTTGAACGGTTGTAGGTTTTTAAAAATTGAGCCCCGGTTACCTCACTCACCAGAATAAACGCGAAAGTATAATAATTCCACTTCACGCTGGTCTTCTAAAGGGTCGTGGTACTTCCCCGAATGAGCCTGTATTATTGCAATAGTATAATCAATGTAACTGCAACTTCAAAGTGACAATTATATAATTGTGTTAATGTTTTTATTGATAGACCACTGAAAAGAAATTTGAAGCGGTTGAAATGAAGTATCTTTAATATGCTCTTTCCTTCTTTAAATTCCTGGACTTTCATCTAAACATTATAATATAGTTATGTGGAAGGTGTTGTATAGTAAGTCCCACAAATACTGCGAACTATAATAATGACGACTGTAGTGACCATTGTAGTTACAAAAAGTATTATACTAGAAATAATTCAAGTTAATATTACAATTAACTGTGATAGGGGGCCACACAATGTTTTTCAATGTTGCACGAATGGGCAGGTCCGGGTGCCCGGGTAAGTAACCACACCCTCTTTTTTTTTGTGGCTCGATGAGCCACTGTTGGCCTTAGGGGCCTTTACAGTTTCGCCGGACTTGAGGTGGCCGGGCTCTCGGGGCGCCTAGCCTGGACCTCGGCGTATTATTATTACGCTTTGTAGTGACTAAGCTCGAGGGCTCCCGAGGGAGCCTCGGCTCGGGCCGTCACGCTATTATTACCGATTTGGGAGGCCGCCAAGCTCTTAGGGCGCTTTTGCGGACGCTCCATGGAGTGACCAGGCTCAAGGGTCCCCGAGAGGTTACCTCGGATTGGGCTGTCACTCAATACGCGTTTAGCATTCCGATTCGAGGGTGCCCGAGAGGGCCGGACCTCGGCTCGATCGGTAGCTATTATCTGACTGGGAGGATTTCTAGATCTGACATCACTACCACTTCGGAAAGCGTTGACGCTGGGAGAAGTAGTGGCGGAAGAAACAACAGCAACGCTTCTACCATTAACGGGGGAAAACCTGCCAGGTATGTGACGGAACCTAGTACATGTTTGCCGCACTCGCCAGCAAGTGCGGTGTGATCTGGTGTGTTTGCGTAATTGTTTTATTTTGTCGATGGCGATAGTCGTCTCATCGTCCGAAAAATCGAGTACATGTCGTGGTCTGCGCCATTGGCGACGGAACGAACCTAACGGTAGAGTTTTGTAGGTGACGGCACCTACAACTAACGGATTGGGATGCGCGGCGGCGGATTCGAAGTAGCGGCGCAACGCCGACTTCAGGAATTGAGCGATGATTGGCCGCTCTAAATCTACATGTAAGTCGATTTCACTTTATTTACCCATGGAATCGGACTAACCACGACCTCACAGAAGACCGGCGTATAATAGAAGTGTTACACTTCTGCATTTCGTCTGGTGAGTAAGGTAGTTAGGGTCCACTTTATTTAAAAGTGGCAACGCTTCTGCGACTACAGGTGTTGCAAATGTCTTGGGCGGCGGTTATCACTTGACATCAGATCAACCGCCAGCTCGTTTGCCACTTCATCACATAAAAAAGGCGATATTTCTTTCCTGACTTGGTTAGTTAAAATAATACTCTATTCTAATAATGTGTTACATGATCTAGCTAGACTATTCACAAATATAATAATACTGCGAAAAATCATAATATGTACTCGGTTAACATCTAAGCTCCTAATTGACACGGTAAGGTGAAATGAATAACCTACAAATTTTGTATTATTTTCAAGCTTAATAAATCGACAGAGGTATCTTTTCACTTCCGATGGAAATAGACTCTCTCTCTCTCTCCCACTCTTTGTGTTTTCTTCAATAATTGATAGCAGTACCAAGTATAAATTATTTTATTAATCTAAATTCGTACTATTTGTAATACTACTCAATATATTTAAGGTTGCATGCAACGCAGCAATCACTGCTGTTGTACGAACTATCAGGCTAGTCCGGGGCAGTAAAACAGCCTCATATATGAACTGCGTAAAATGGAAGTATTACTGTAGAATCAGTTGTGGCCAGAGGTATTTCCGGACCGATACGACAGAAAGGTTGGCAACGCATTTGTGTTGGAAAGGCATCACTTCGCATCAAGAACTCGCAGTTTCCATCTTATCTCTTAAAAATAATATTAGTCTCAACCGTTTAAACATTTTACTCAATCTCAATTACTACATACACAGCATTGGTGGAATAACCTTAACAGCAACATAATTTATTGAACATACTTTTCTTTTACATTTTATTCTGCTCATGAAATATTTTAAAACGTCTTCAACTTCATAATTTTAAAATTTGTACTTTGTTCACATATTTTATACAGATAATTTTATAGGCTCCTTTGTATATAAATTAGTGTTCGATTCGTCGGTATTTATTATTCAAGGCAGATGAGCTCCGCTTGGGTGGAAGCCATTTTCATCAGCTGTGTAATCGATTCTATATTTGAGGCCATCGGCGCCGATGTACTCGTAGAAACCTGTCACCCTGGTTCCAGCATTTTCACCAGGCTCAACCACGCCAGATTCCCCTGCACTAATCCCGTTCTCCGTTAAGTAGCTGAAGCGATAGTTGTTCGCGTCAAAATCACTATCCTGACTAACGATCCTGGCATTGCCTTCTGGGAGATTACTTCTTTGGAATACTGGTAGTGTGGTAGGTTGTACTGTGCTTTTTGAAGCCAAAGTGTAAGCTGAACTTGTGGTGGTGGTCTTGACTTCAATTGGCCGATACGTTACAGCCACCTGCGGAGGATTGCTGGTGAAGGAAAAGTAAAATTGCATTAATAATAGAAATACCTCGTGTGCTTATTATGTGAGATATAAGTTGCGTTTAACGATTTACGGAAAAAAGAGACTGCAATTATAGTTATTCCTTTTACCCTGCTGTACGAATTAATATGCTGGCTCAGGAAAGTACCACGGTCTTGCGGAAGACCAATGTAAAGTATAGGTATAATGATATTGTAAACCATTTCATGAGTAAGGTAACAGTATTTATATGGTGGTAGGGCCACGCAGAAGCGGCGGCTGTTGCACAATTGGGAAGGTTCGTCCGGGTAAGTACCATGACCTCACAGAAGACCGGCATAAAGTGGAAGTATTATACTTTCGCATTTCGTCTGGTGAGTGAGGTGGCCGGAGCCCCATTTCCAAAAGGTTGTAAACGCATCTGCAACACTCGGGTGTAGCAGATGTCCATGGGCGGCGTTATTCACTTAACATCAAGTGAACCGTCTGCCAGCTTGGCAACTTTTCACATAAAAAAATGCTCTTTTAAAGTTAATAACGCCACTTCATGGGTCTCGTAGATATCCTATGGGTCTCAGCAATTACTTAACATTGGGAAAAAGAGAAGGTATTAAAAAAAGAAAAGAAAGGTACTAAAAATAAGGTAAAAGAAAAAAGCAGAAAAAGTTTGACAGATGCTTAATCCTATATCAGTAAAATAGTGTATAATTATTAATTATACAAGAGTGGGTTGAAAACTGCGCGGCCTAGTCAAGAAAGTAAAAAATAAACAAACATCAAAATGACGTAATCTCTCTATAAATATCATCCACTGCTTTTTAAATCTTCTATACCTATTTATCTACAAATTTTAATCTTCTATACCACACATAAAAGCACTGTTTAAGTCTCCTCAACAGTGGCCGCAGCTTCGACGTTCGTTCGTCGTTGACTACCAAGATGTTGTTTAGATATGGAAACAGGTAAAACAGTAGAAAAAAAAAACAAATGTACAGACATTTGTTTTGTACATAGAACCCGCTTACCCATTAACATACATGAAGGTACATCCATAAGACGTATATACGCAAGCATTACCCTTATTAAATAACAATATCTATATCTATTATTTTTAATAAAGTTTATCGTATTATCGTATTTAACTGAAGAAGAGATTTCTAGACTCGTGTGAACTGCCTTCTCTTTCTTATGCATCACAAACATGAATGTTCAACAGATACACTAGAAATAAGATATAAACCACCCAAAGAGCCATGGAGCGGAGCACTCTAAATTGAAACATAAAAGGACAAATGTATATGTGAGAAATACAACTAAAGTTATAGATGCTCTACAACACTGTAAAAAACTAAAATGGTAATGGACCGGCCATGTTGCACGTATGAACAACGACAGTTGGACAAAGAAGATAACCACTTAGAAAGGGCCATCAGGAAAGAGAAAAAGAGGTAGACCAATGGAGAGGTGGCTCGACGAAATACTGAAAACAGTGGAAAATGACTGGATGGAAATAGCAAAAGACAGAAATAAGTGGACAAAATGGAAGAGGCCTTTACTCTGTAGTGAGATGCTTAATAATAGTGATTAGTTTTGCATGTAATAATGAAATTAATATAATTTAATTTTTAATTTAAATAATTTAAATCTATTTGTATTTAATCAAGTTTTATTCATGTTTGTATTATTACTTATTTAAATTCAATGTATATTTTTTAAATTAATTTAATCAATTTAATCTATTCTATTATATTTTAAATTTTCGAATTATTATATATTAATAATTATATATATATTAAATATCGCATTATGTAATTTTTCTATTAAGGAATAAACAAGGCTTTATTATTATTACTATTTAACTTTTTTATCAGAAATCCCTGTCGTTTTTTCGAGTATTATTAACATCTTCAAGTATATGAATCGTACCAAAACATGTAAACATTTGAAAGCCATTTTGCTCAGCTGTAAGTATTTTGGGGACCTTTAGAGCGGAAACCTTTGAAATTCCAAGTTCATGGACTACGATGCTTTACGTTCTTTAATACCAGATGCCTATAGGGTCAGAAATTTCCTGTATAATTCTAAACTAGAACAAACATTTTGCCAAGAGATTCGCACTGTGTTTCGCACACAATCAACAACCGTAATACCTCCATAATATAATATATAAAACTAAAAAGTTTAAAACTCTAATCCCGCTAGCTTTTCATCCACCCTCGTATGTATTTATTTTAGTACTAGCTTTTCGTGTTGTTCACTCGCGTTGAAGCCCTTAAATAAATATATTTTTTTAAACTTATATATATTTTTAAGGAAAGATATTTTGAACCCTTTTACAGCACTTTTTCCAATTAAAAAACAGCCTACGTCCTTTTTTAGGCTCTAGACTATCTGTGAACCAAGTTTCATTTAAATCAATTCAGTAGTTTTGGCGCCAAAGCGACACAGACAGACAGAGTTACTTTCGCATTTTTAATATTAGTATGGAAGTATGGATTTGCTACACAAGTTAGTTGATTAAATTAAGACGATGATGAGGATTTTGCGAACATCACAATACAATGATCATAATCATGACCAAAGACCAAAATTACCTTTTCTCTGCAATAGCATTGTAAGGAGTCAATAACTCCTGATACGGCTTATTCTGGTATCGTGCATTGTTTCTGAAGTAGTTATTGTATCTTCCAAAAGGATTGTAATAACTGCCGTCACCAGAATAGCGATATCTTCCATAATTCGCGTTCACATCAGGTCGGTAGCGGCCGTCGTCTTCACCGCATACTAAACTTAACACCATTGCAACGATAATCTGTAAAACGAATCAATTCTTTATTCCTTTTGGTTTAGCAAACATTTCCGAATTTCTCATTCCTAATATTTATAATATATTTAAGTATTAGTTTATCTTAATTCAATAAAGTAAAAGTAACAGCTTTTCAATGTCTCACTGCAGGACAGAGTCCTCCCCATTGCAGAGGCTATCAGGGCATAGTTCACCACGCGGCTCCGCTGCGAATTGGTGGATTTCACGTACCTAAGAAATATTTTTTTTTGTAATAATTTCGAAAATATGCTGATTTCCTCAAGATGTTTTCCTTCACCGTTGAGCACGTGATAAGTCAGCACTTAAAAATAAAAATTACATTGGTGCCGGCACCGGGGATCCAACTCAGTTTGCTTGAGTAGGTATATTGAATTAAAACCGAGCGCCCGGACAATGAGCTATCACGGCTTTATATAATTCAGTAAAACTTGAAAAATCTTAGGTACTGAGCACAGTGTGAAAATCGTGAGAATTTAACGAGTATTATAATAATAAGTTAATTGAAGTCCGCGGTCGACAGATCATAACCATACCTTTTAAAAAATAGAGCAACTTTTTATGGAAGAAAATGGCAAGCATGCTGGTGGTTCTCCTGGTGTAAAGCGATAAACGCCACCTGCAGGTTGCCAATGCGTTCCCACCCTTCCATAAAGTGGGTCCTGTATACCTCAATAACCAGACGAAATGCAGACATAACACTTCCACTTTACCCTGGTCTTCTTGTGATTTCGTGATACTTCCTGGACCTGACCATTAATGCAACATCTATCATCTATCTCAAGGACTATCACTTGAGTCTACCACAGTTAAAATCCTTATAAAAATGCTGTGATTCAAGCGCTGCTTAAATTTATTAACTTTAAAATAATTAATAATATAAAAAAAATCTTATTAATTAAGTTCTCCACTTTTTGGATTATTTACAAGGAAGTATAAGTGGCTTATTAATGGGGCTGACTGAGACAGGCGTATCACCCAATAACAGATAATATCAAACTCTCACGATAATAAGAAAAGTAGAACAAAAATCAATAATTACTTACCACTGTGATCTTCATTCTTGTTGAATAAAGCTCCTCGACTCAAATATTGAATGGTTAATCAATTTAACCTGCGTTAGCTTTTATATAATCCTCAAATTCCAAAATGGAGTATTTATTACGACAATAGATTGGGCTAAGTAAGAATAAATGTAAATTTTAGTCATCAAGTTGACATTGAGTTTAGCTTATATGGCAAAGGCCTTATTTAAGAGGAACTATAACATCGTTTACCACGCCCATGCCTTTTTTGGACTGATGGGAATGGAGGCGTTATGCTGTGGTGGTTATCTCTAAAACTAATTTTGCCATTAATTTAGTTTGAAGTTTGCATACCACAGTAAATCACAACACCGTTTCTAACTTATGACAATAACGCCATTATAAGAATCTATTGCACAAATCTTTTTGAATGTTACATATTAATACAAATAATTAATACAATACACAGAAAATAAAAAGTGATTCTACTTATTTTGTTTAAAATCATTATATATAGTCGAATCAGCGAAACATAAAAATAGGTATTTATCACTAGCATATTTTGGTGAAAATGCAAAACTAATATCTCTTATCCTTTAAACGAGCAATTCTTGTATATCTATTCTCTCTTCTTGTGTATATATATATATATATATAATCGGAATCTCGGAAACGGCTCCAGCGATTTTCATGAAATTTAGTATGTGCGTAGATTCGGGGGCGAAAAATCGATCTAATCGGTTTCATTTTTCGAAATGTCCTTTTTATCAGGGAATGAAAAATATCATTCGAATATGACAGTAAATTTCATCCGCAAAAAAAAATTTTATAATAGCTCGGTCAGTAATCTGGCGGCCCCAAAACAGACGGCCGCGGTTCGTATCACGATCATTTACACACTTATTTCTTTATTCTTTTTTTCTATACCAGATCATTTTTTTATTTTTTTTTATTTCAAAGGTTTTCCAGGTACTATATATAAATCAGTCAGTTGTAGTTGTATAGGATGTTATATATTTTTTTGTTTTTTATTTAATTAGTTTGTTTGATAAATATATTTTCTTTTAATTTTTTTAACGTTTTACAATTTTTATGATTATTGGCAAATAGCGTTAGACACGTGTTCATTTATTGTCGCGGTTGTAACGACACGCTGTATATATATATATATATTGCACAGTATATGTAATTGATTTCCTTATATATAATTAAGAACATATATGTTTGTGTATTGTGTATATATATACAATACGTACTAATACGTTGGCTAGCTGACGTAGCCACATAGTAATAATGCAGGTGTAACATGTAATGAAATTGAAAATCAATCAATTAAATAAATTTTGTTAATTCTTTTTTAATGTAATATTAAAGAAGTTGACAGAATCTCGAAAAAAAGCAGAAAAACTACTAAAGTCATATTTAAGAGATAAATATTAATTTCCAAAAAAAATGCGCTTTAGTGGTAAACCGAACTAAAAACTAAAATAATTATTTCAATATAAGAATAAAGTGAAATGTGTCATAACTAAAAATTAAGCTCTTAATTTCAATATTGCGAAATAGAGAAGTAAGATATTATAACATTTGATATCGAGCACCACATGCTTCTTCAACAATGACATTATTTTTTTCTTTAAACACTTTATTCTGATATTGAAATTGTTTTATATATACTTTATGTTCGTTTATGTTCGCTTTAAATTTTTTTAGGCCCGGTATCATTGTTGCACTTGCTGACTTCCTTGAATCTGGTAGCCGTTCCACAGATCCCTTTCTGGTAGGAAATCATTAATCCTAATGATCCTTTAGTCAGGATAATGGGATAAACTTTTTAATTTATTGAATTTCCATCGCTCATTTGAAATTAATCTAACATCAAAATTTGTAAGAAATCGAACCCACATCATCCGGATTCGCGCCCAGAATTTCTAATGGTTTTGTGTTAAAAATAGAGTTTGACAGAAGTTAATGAATACGAGTTAAAAACCCTTAATCAATAATAAATGGTGTGTAAAGACTTTCATCATCCAATGGACAATTCTGTTTTTCGTTTAATTTGATAGAAATCTGTGAAATAAATGAAGTTAAAAAAAATTAAAATAATTAATTGTTTATTATAATTTAAGATCTTATTTTGCAATTATCACTGTTGTCATTATAACCATAGCCATATAAAACTCATCGTTGTCCAGCTTCTGTCGAGGATTGTAAATCAATTATCAATATGTTATCTCCAACGTCGGTTAAAACTTGCACGTCGCTCAATGTGGACCTCGAATCGTCCTCTTCTGAAACTTCAACACTGTCTGTAGTGGGTTTAAGTTCATCGTTACTCAAAGTTTGAGCATAAGCCATTGTTGGTTTGGCATCATCATTAGGTAAAAGTTGCACATCATCAATAGTCAACTTTAAATCCTCAGCAGTTGGAACACCGCTTACAGTTGGCAGCACATCCTCGATGATCAAGGACTTCACAATTTCGCTTATAGAACTTTTTACATCAGTATTCGTCGTTGATTCCACCTTAGCGACGCTAGGGGGCCTTAAGATAAGAAGGGGAGATTTAAGTTCTTCGACAGCCGGAGTCACTTCATCGCTTTCAGAAGGCAGTGAGACATCATCGACCACCCTCACAAAAACTTCGTATTGCAATTTCAATTTATTTGTCAGAGCATTTTTCACAGTACTTAATACTTTGGTTCCTTTAAAGCTATAGAAGGAACCTAATTTTTCCCCTTTTTCTAAATTCATATGTGGTGGATACCTGAAAAATACATACGATACAATTAAATCTACCTCTACGTTTAAGTTTATTGGGGTAACCGTATTATCCATCTGATAATATCTTATATCCCGGATGTAAACATTTCAACTTGCTTAAAAATAATTCAACCCCTGTAGGATAAACGCTGGATTACAAAGCTCATTTTAGCAGTGACAAATAAATCACTTGAGGAAATCGTGAAACCATTAGTGATTGGCACTTTCTTCGAACTTTTTATTTGCGTGTCAATAATTAGTCGATGGATGCAGGTGGCTCAGGATCGTACTTCGTGGCAGTCTATGGGGGAGGCCTATGTTCAGCAGTGGACTCAAACAAGCTGAAATGATGATGATGATGATGAATTAATCCATAAATAATGTAATAATATAATATTAGATTGTTTGCCTCAGTATAAATTAACATAATTAAATTAACTCCAAAAACCCCCCTCTTTAAACCGATACTTTATTTACTTCGGAAATGTAACCGAACTATAATAATTATATATACATATACACACAGATACTCATATCATAATAGCTACAATTCAATATATAATACCAGAATGTGGTCAGTCATATTATGAATAATAACAGAATGGTATTTGATAAAAGTCTTAAAACCTGTCAGTCGAGTCTTCATAGTTTATTCTAGTTCGAGGTCACTACAGTTTGCATTTAAAGTAAAGCATATAAATGTTATAAACGAGAACTTGAATTAAATACCCGGATATAGTAGACATGAAATGATAAACGATAATAATATTAAGATTTTAAAAAGTCCAAAAAACATTTATGTAAGAAGCAAAACGTTTGCTTCTTACATTTATGTAAGTAGAAAACTTTTCGTTAAATCGAAACCATGCCGAACTAATTCATGATATTAAAAGATTTGTAATGCTAGTATTTAATTCATCCTTAGCTAACGCACGTATGAGCACATGCGTGGCCCTACCAACTGTGGAGGGCCTCAAACCCGTGGGTTCTGGCCAGCCGGTTATGCGTCCGATGTAGCTTCAATAGTCTCGGGACGGAAAGCGTTAACATCAGTTAAAAAAATTATTCCAATTTACATAATTTTTCAACCGTAATATAAGGCAGAGAAAATTCGTAATAAAATGTACTAAAACAAAGTTAAAAATTGTGAAACTTTAAATTGTGATGAGATTAAAATTTTAATAGAACACTCTTTTTTAACTCGTCCTAAAATACCGATGACGTAAAATTTTCTTCTTTATTTACAAGAAAATTGCAAATTTGTTCAGATTTTAACTTTTTTACTCCAGCGCCAACGGGTCGTAAGTTTGAATCCCATACGGGACATGTATTTGTGATCCACAGATAATTGTTCCGGATCTGGGTGTTAAATTCCAAGTAAGTACGATCATGCAGGCGGTCTATCAAAAAAAAAAAGTTGGCAATACAATTATCAAAATTATTCACATGTTGTGTCCACCAAACCAATGTACAGAAAGGGTAAGAAAGAAGAAAAAAAAAAGATTTACAAGTAACAATGGGATCGGAAAGATTACCTTCAAACCGGCTTATTATATTTGAACATGGTTGTTCGAAGTTCTTTCTTTTACCAGGCAAATTATAACAAAACCTTAAACAGACTGTTAAATGTTATTGAAAGCAACAGGCTCATACCAGATTTATGTACGTATGTGTCATACATTCATTTGGGCAATAAAGCTTTAAATTTCACCGCACCTTCTCGTTAGTCTACGATTTATTAAATAAGTGTTGACTAACTGGCCAAAAAAAATGCAAGGTGATAATGATTATCATCATTTTATTATCGTCGAGCACATGAACCTAATGAATGATGTGACGTTTCAAAAAAGTAAATAAATAAAATAAAAACAAAAAAAATAATAAATAAGAATAATAAAACTAAATAAATAACCAAATACCAATTAAATAAAAAATAGGAACGATCATGCCACATTCATTTTAAAATGTGAATTTTATCACTAAGACTGGTTAATATTAGCTCTTTCTCATAATTCAGTACTTTTAAACTATCATGCGACCCTCAATTGAATAAAGCGATTTTGATGAACGTAAAAATGGAAACCGATTATGCACTATCTTAAGATTGAACAATAAAATTAACCTCTACAACCAACTCTAAGCAAAAAAACATGTAATAACTAATGTCGGTCTGATTCGAAATTGATTCTTCGATACCTCTAACTGGAGGTAAAAAATGACATATGAAATCGAAGCAAAGCTCGTAGTCCTAAGTCGGCGGGACCCGTTAATATATGCTGGCGTTAGTCAGACCTAATTACCTTTCCTAAGTCCGAAAAAGTTTTATATTCAGAGAACAATCCTTAGATAATGTGGCGCGCATTACTCTATTAGGGTTTTCTATGCTCGTACATAGTCGGAAAATCGAGCTGCGTTACTACTTGAATGTTACATAATCTCAACAGACTGACTCACCTGATAGGTTCGATGACTTTGAATATTGATTTTGCATATAAAAATAGTAACATTTATTGTTATTAAGCCAACACGAGTGTACTCCAACTATTAGGTTCTTAACGAAACCATAGAAATATTATATTTTAGCAGGCTCTGAATCCTATTAAATTCGGACCATTCGTGAATGGAACCTAGGACTAAAAGGAAATGAGGGATCCACGGACGATCAGGGCGACTTAAGTGGGCAAAAAGTACATTTAAGTCGCCCACGGGTCCATGGATGATCAGAATTTGCTCCTTCTCAGCCACTTTATTAGAACCAGAAAAAACGACAGCACGAAGCGTCTCATGTTTTGTGAACTCTTTGAAAATAAAACCAGCCAAATGTGAGTCGGACTCGACCCCAAGGATTCCGTACCATCTATAGTAAATTAATTGGTTAAGTTACTAAGTACCTATAGGTTGCGTAGCAACCGCCTCACGTTTGTTGTATGGAATCCCCCTTAAATGCTTTTTTATTTTAGTGTATTTTATATCAGTTATAGTGCTTTTGTTACAGTGGCAACAGAAATACATCATCTGTGAAATTTTCAACATCACGGTGTATCTTATGCAGCCCGGTGATAGACGGACAGACAGACAGACAGCGGAATTTTAGTAATAGAGTCCCGTTTTACCCTAAAAATTATTAAAACTGAAATATTTTAATTTTTTTTTCATTAAACTTCGATTAATACAAATATATTAAAAAATGCTAAATATGCCATTCCTGTTACTATTTATTGCCATGTAGTTTCAAAAGTCATTTTAAATTAGCTTATGATGTTTTTGTATCATTTTGCCAAATTCAAAAATTGTATAAATACATATATTAAAATTAACTGGATAATTTATTTAATTTAATTAAAACAACTATGTGGTTGAACAAGTGATGTTTTGCATGTTTTTCGCAACAAGTTGACGGGAAATTCGTATATATATATATATATATATGTGTTTAATAAACATTAAAACGAATTTATTTAATATACCGGAAAACTAACGATTTCCGACTTGACATTTAACTTCGAATCTGTCGCATCTATAATGGCGTATTTATATAAACAATTATTGATGTATTTAATTAATGATTCTTTAAGTAATATTAAAAAAAAAACATTCTAGAATAAAGTCAATATACATATTTTAACGAAGATAAATTTTCATTCGAGACATGGAATTTCATTTACAATTTACAATGTACCTAATGACTAAAAATCGTAAAGGACTTTGAGACATGGTAATACAGCCTCAATAAATATAACAATCTTGCTTAAAAAATAATTAAAAGCAAAAAGCACAAAAAACCTGATCGGTATATACTTTATTCATAATTTGCCATAAGATACGGTACCGCTATAGAAAAAAAGCAAGCGTAAAATAACATGAAATTTTGTCTCGCTTGAGAAAAAATGAATTCTGGACAGGTTTAAGGTCAATAACCCCCTTTGGTAACGCATTCCAGGACACGATGTTTTGTATTTATTTTTACTTATATCTGAGTCACATTGAAAGAATTTATATAGGAACAATGTAATAAACTCTGAGTCGTAAAAGTGTTTAGCAAGGTTCTTGTGCATAAATATGGAATTTGCCCTGCCTACATCCTGTTGTTCTTTGAGCTTCATTAATCTTATAACCGGTTTTAATTAGCATTTTTTCGTATCTGTTCTAAAAACTAAGTCATCTGTCAAAACCAAGGACTTACAATTTTGCTTTTGTTTCCTCGCCAATGCCGTTGCCTTTGACATTATTACATAATTAAGAAAACACGAAATTTGACATGAACATTGAGGATGTCTTCAAATGAAAACATCTGATGTTTTGCTATATTGGCTTATTTCGACTGTTCCAAATTCATCATTTATCTATTATATTTTTGTAACTTATTATTTTAACTGTATAAATTATAGAACTACTTTTACTAGTGTTTATATAAAACTTCCTTTCATACATTTAAGACATTTTCTTATTGGCATCTTGTACAAATATTTAGATTCAATACAGGGTACACAATTATGAGTATTACAAAAGATTCGTTTATAGATGAAAATTTTCATTGACCAAAAAGGTCAAGCGAATAAAAGTAATAAGTTAAGGTGTAAACTGGAATATAAGAGTAATCTTATATAAGCGTCTATTAACTACGAGACTTATGCAGTAATATTCGATACTATTTTTAATAATTAGTGTTACTATTTAGTAAGAAGGGTGGTAGAGCCACGCAGCAGCCTCGGCTGTTGCACGAATGGGCAGGCTCATCCGGGTAAGTACCACGACCTCACAAAAGACCGGCGTAAAGTGGAAATATGATAAGTACTTTCGCGTTTCATCTGGTGAGTGAGGTAGCCGGAGCCCAATATTTTCAAAAAGGTTGTCAACGCATCTGCAAACCCTCGGGTGTAGCAGATGTCTATGGGCGGCGGTATTCACATTGGCAACTTTTCACATAAAAAAAACAAGATTATCTAAGCAAGACTATCAACAAAATAAAAAAAAATGCGTAAGTTTAGCAAAGTGAAGAAGAAAGAAAAGAAAGCCTATTTCGAAATAATGCCTAGAAAGAAAATTAGAGTTAATCGCACCTTTATGTTTAATTATAGTGACCTATTTAAAAATGTTCATTTTTGGGAAACGTAAAATAAAGATTTGGTCACTTATGAAAACGTGGTGAATATGAGTGGAATGAAAGAGACCGAAGTATATATGTTATGTAGCTTTATAAAGTCGGCCCTTGTTTTAATGATAAACGAAACATTTTATCACATAAAATCACATGAGACGTAAAATAGAAATCATGGTTTTATTAATTAGGTCGATTAATTCTAAAGGTGTATGTTATTCGCCATACAGTGAAAATTCAATGGCAAAACGGCGATAGGTGGCAAGGTATTTAGACACTCATTATTCCACACATCTTTCTAGTCGTGTTTTATTTTATAGCAAAAAAGACGTTACTCCTAAAATAGATGATTTTAACAATTAATCGCATATATCCAGCATAGGGAGAATATTTAAACTGATTATAGATGAAATAGTTCTTTTGGACTTTTGCCTTTTACTGTTCTCAATATTGGAATCAATACAAAATGCCTACTTTCAAATTGTGTATATACCTAGAGTATAGACCAATTAAAATAAGATGTTATAGATAGACCTTTTTTAATAATTTACCCGAATAATTTTTTCACTGTTAATGTGAATAATCGAATTGAGAATTGAAATTCGATGCAATGTATAAAACATTACATAACTAGTACGTAATATTTAATTTATCTTTAAGATTTAACTTGATAATAACAAACATGGCTTTTGCATTAACTTTTACACTCACTGTTGCATGTAATATCGTGTGTTATTTATTGTATAAAGATTTTAACGTCATGTTTCTCTCTTAATTATGTTAACAACCCCGTTTAGATACTAAAGCTAAATGAAATAGCTGAATAAAAATCACTTACTGGGTGGTGAACTCGGTCTTATTAGATTCGGGCATTATATATTGGCATTTAACAGCCACTTCCTTGTCCGCGTAGACTTTGCTGTAGTGGTTTGTGCTACCCTCTGTCGCCTCACCAAAATTCACGCTGTCCGATGAAACGTATTTGCTGACTAAGCCCTTTATAACGCCATGCACGTATGGGTATCTGCTGGCGTACACCCTGTAGCCCATATATGGGTCGTCCTTTTCATTCATGTACTTGTACGTACCATCATAGGGCCAAACGCCTTGCTGGTAGATGTAAGTGTATCGACCTTCGTCACCGGGAATATATTTTCCCTCATCGAGTGGCCTGTAGTATTTACCATCGTCGTATTCATCGTATTTCTTCGGCCTATATTTGCCATCGTCAAAAGGAGAGCACAATACGGCACTAAATATCGATACTGCTAATATCTGTAATATATGAAAGGACGACATTTTCAAATCCTAAAATATTAAATATCTACTAATTACAACGCTTTAGAGCTTGCATTTTTAGATGTGCCCAAAAAGTACCCTACCCCACAAAAAATTAGATCACAATTTTTTTCTCAATTAAGAATTAATTTGTATTGTTTTAAATAAAATGATGAGTTTTTTTTATATATTTAACCAAGATATGCAGTTGTTACTGAGACTAATACGAGGCAATTGCAGCACATTACAATGATATTTGTGAAAAATACATTCAGAAAATGCAGTTGCACATCACTCTGATTCAAACTGAAACAGTGTTTTAAATTCCTATCAGTTAATTAAAAAAACACAAACAAACACAAACTTTTTCAGATTAAAAAGCAGAGATTACAAATATTTTTTTTTAATAATCCCAAGTTAAATAATCAACACAATGTATAAATCAATAGCATTAAATGAAACTACAAAATAGTTAAATAAATTTACTTACAAATTGCTGCATTTTCTTCATGATTCCAGATTAATAAATACCTCACTAGGTTACTGATGCCAAAACCGATGTCAAAATTTAATAACAGTTTTTTTTTTTCACACGAAGATCGGTATAAGTTGTTTACTCCGCAGATTATGTTTTAGATCTGAAACTAGATCAGATAATGTGTCATAAGTAAGCAGCATTTTTGTTAGATAACAGGCAATATTCGTCAAAAAATATTTTATTCCTCATTGCCTTAATTAACATTTAGATGTATAATAAATTTTGTTCGAGACATACCGAAAAGTGGATCAGAATCCTAATATCAAGGTGTGACGAGGTCAGACAGAAGGATATTAACATAGCTCGTAATATAAAATAGTTCCTTAGCTAATATATTATATGACATTAATCAATCACATTTGCACTATGGCTGTGAATATCGAAACATATTTATCCATGAAATTTTTTTTTATTTTACTTATGATTAAGATACTAAAATCATTATGGAAAAACATCTTATGTATGAACAATTCTTATTATTTAATTTTTAATACATTATTGCTTTAAACACTAGATCAATTCAGACATAATTTTACTGGGTAAACAATAATTTGCAACAAATTTATTAATCGTTATAATTATTGTAACAAGAGTTCCTTGCATTGATCTAATAAAAAATTATACGTCATGTCAGAATAATTAGTAACAATAACTTGTTTATAATTGATAGGTGACTTACATTATATTTGTAAAATAATATTAACAAACTTTACCTACTGTGCAATGAGGCTTTCTACGTGCCTTTTTGTAAACTTATATGACATTTTATTACTACTAAAAAAAATATAGTATGCCAATGTTAAGTTCAAATCATTATTCACTCATATTAGCCGAAATACACCAATCGAATTTGACGTGAAGACGAATACAGCGCCATCATATCAACTTAAAGCTTATTTATATTCTCGAATTAAGAAAAAGCAAGCTCTAAACTAGTCTGACAGGGACGTTACAATCAATAATTAGCGGTTTTTGACGCAAGTTCGATTCCAATATATCTAAAGTGATTTTCACTATCAGAAAGTTAATAACATGCCAATAAATCAACAAACGAGTACTACATCATAAAGTACTACTTCATCACTAAGTTCACTAAAAGCCAACGTCTCTATGAAAAGATTGAATCTATATCCGGTCAATTCAAGTAGCCACAGTAACACGTTAACTCATATACATTAATCGTAAATTAATAACCAGTTTGATGCAAAATGAATCCGCATGCTTTGAATGCTTCACGTTACGTGTCAATCTACTACATGTTTTATTACATTACGACTCTTCTTACCAGTTTACAGAAATGTGAGTATGTGTGTGTACTGTGGCAGGACCTCGCACCATTTTTCATTGTTGCACGAATAGGCAGGTCCATCTGGGGAAGTAGTTTGACCTCAAAGACGACCGGCATAAAGTCGAAGTATTATCCTTCTTCGTTTCGTCTAGTGAGGTGTGTGAGCAAACTTTATTAAAAGATGTAAATGCATCTGCAATCCTACGGGTGTTGCAAATTTTAATGGGCGGCACTCAACAGGTGAACTAGCCCGTTTGCCACCTTCTCACAATAAAAGAGAATATATCTACATATTATATATGTTATGTCTATCATGGGACAGATATAACACATGGAAAATGAAAGCTAGAAAGGGTTGGAAGTATCGGGATTTAAAATTAAGAATAAATGCGATAAATTCGTAAAAATAATTTCATTTATAATGTGTTACCGCGTGAATACAAGAAATCATCATATCTACAACAGGACAAAAATATATATTATTGATATAGAACATTAGCTGACCCGGCAAACTTTATTTTGCCATATAAATTATTTTTAGGGTAGAAAAAAATGTTGGGGGTGGGCCACCCTTAACTTTTAGAGGGATGAAAAATAGATATTGTCCGATTCTCCACCCTGGCCGACATGCACACAAATTTCACGAAAATCGGTCGAGCCGTTTCGGAGGAGCTCAATTACAAACACCGTGACACGAGAATTTTACATATTAGATTATATAATCTACTGAAAAATAATAAATTCTGTAGCGGAACTAGAAATATATTATGTTTTAGTAATTTTAATGGGACACAAAATTAATGAACACTATTCAAAAATGTTCGATCGCTGACATATGTTGTTCTCAAAATATCACATCCTTAATCTTTTTGTATATAATTTGGAAATATGAATCTTATGAATTCCAATTTCTATATAATGTTGACCACATTAAAAAAAATATTATATGATCGTAACTCTACTATTACTTTGAACATATTTATTCAAGTCATAATATTAAGCATTGGTAAAAAATGTAATAAATAAATAAAGCTACATAATTAGTAGGCTCAAAATTTTGCTTACTTTTATTGCTTAATTTTACAAAAGCAATGTTAAATATATATTTTAGTCTGTCATTAATTACTTATTTTAACTACAAAAACGATAAAAGTCCCAATTTCCTCATAGTTTCGAAATGCAGTAGAAACTATTATTTAATTATTAATATAAGCTATTATTACTCTTATATTGGGGTTATTTCACGACTTAGTGATTTTTTCCATCATATCGCGAGTACAATATGAAATAAATAAATTTGAAGTTCTGTTGACTTCTTTTCATAAAGTATTATAGTCCCAGAGTAGCCAGTTATCTTTAAGTCACCATCTACCACCACTATCTTTACGTAACCATTCCTAAATATCAATCTTATCTTCTATTCTATGTTTTTAAGCATGTTAAGTTTGTATTATAAAACTATGCACTATCCACAACCTTTTTAAGAAACGAAACATAACTTTTTATCGAGATATACTCAACTTTAACAGCATCGATCTGCGATTTATACCATGTTCAGAGCACTACTATAGTTATTATTATAGATACATTTATTTTATAATTTATCAAAAGAGGATTTCTAAACAAAATAATATTTATATTAATTTATAATATTTATTTTTGGAAATGGAAAAGTGTAAACATGTAACTCTTAGAATGAAAGTGTACTATGCATAATTAGTACGAAGTTTGATTCAACAATAAACTTTAAATAATTATGTATTCTGACAAATAATAAAAATGAAAATGGTAACTTGTGTTACCATTTTCATGCATGCAAAGGTCACAGAATAAATTACTCCATACCCACACATTAATCAGATTAAGGATCTTCATTTACGTATTTTATTATTGCTTCTTCACAGTAGAATTTGCATGTTAACAACAAATTTGTGAATAAAACTGCATGTTGGCAAGGATATCATGTCAGTATCCTTGTATTGGCATATTGGTGTCAGCTGAATACTTAACATCATAATAAACAATACGGAATGATCAAATTGATAAGTTTAAAAATTTTTGAATAAAATAATTACCTTACTTCTTATAGGAATTTCACCTTAGATGGAAGAGCCGTGGTCACGAGACGACACCACAGAGATGACTTAAATTTAAACGGGTTCGATCCGTATAAAATTTGGATTTAACAGTATGTTCTCCCTCCCAGTTTCGTATCGTTAAGTTAACAAAATAAGAAAGTATCAGGTATTCACAGTCTAACGGTAGTAATGACAAATGAAAAATTTTTATTGACTCATCCTTTGCATAAATTACACAATAAATTATTCAATAAATGTAGGTAAAATTACAGTAAATATTAATTATTTAATTCTTTATACATTTAAAAAATAAGAAGAATTATATCTTTTACCTTTTTGAAATAAGGATATGTTTCGACTAAACAACTTTTTTATTTGTTCGTTTTTCTTTGTTAAACGCTTCCAAAATATTTTTTCAGTATGTTCCATAAGATACCAAAAAAGTTTTTACATAATTTAGATTTAATTATCCAGGAAATGATAACTTCCAATGAGGCAGAGCTCAAATAATTTTAATTGACTAAACGCTTCCAAAATATTTTTTCACTTTGTTTCATAGGAAACCAAAAAAGTTTTTATATACTTTAGATTTAATTATCCAGGAAATGATAACTTCCAGTGAGAAACTCAAGTAATTGATTCATACAGAGTTCACCTGAAATTACACAGACCGAGTAAAACAGCCACACATATAAATTAACATATGGACAAATTTAAAAATCTCATAGACTGAAATTATAAAATATAATTTCAGTCCATGAGATTATACATACATAAAAAAATTGTTTAAACAATAAAATACTAAATATGTAGTTATAAAAAAATTTGTTTGACTGAAGTATTAATTTCATATTTTCACATTTTATCAAGTCGAAACTATTAAAGCTAATAACAACCCTTCTCAATGTAAAAAATGTAAAAGAGAAGTTTTAAAATGAAAACTGAAAAAATGCAAATTGTAAATGAAAATTTAAGAAAATAAATTGACTCCTTGCTCGCAACGGCTGGTATAATCACCATCCGCAAATTGTAAACCAATCAATGCGACTGTTTTCTTTTTTCTTTATATTTGAGTACATAAAAATATAATGAAACAGTTTTGTAGAATTGTTATTTTTTATTTAAAACTACATATATTTACTATACGCCATCATTTAAGGGGTCGGAAACAGCTTGTGGTTTAGCAGGTCTGTATACATAGCTGGGTGATGGACTAGGAACGAACAGCGGTGCAAGGCTAGGTGCAGCACTAGGAGCTGGGCTGGTGGTTGAACTGAATAACAGAGTAGAAGGGAATGGAGAAGCAGTTGGAGCAACGGTGGGGGCCGCACTAGGAGCAGCGCTAGAAGCCTCAGTAGGATATGGGCTTAAAGTTTCGCTGACTGAAGAGCTGGGTGCCTCGGTAGGGGATGGGAGGGGTGTCTGAGTTGTAGGTGCAAGTGGGGCTACGCTGGGCGTCGGAGCTGGGGTGTCGCTAAGAGGTGCGCTGGACGAGGGGCTCAGGAGAATGCTTGGCGATGGACTGGATTCGGGTAAGATGGTCACAGAGACGACTGGACTAGCGGTGGCACTGCTAACTGCTGCCAATGGAGAAACACTCTCCGTTTTCTCAGCAACGTAAGAACCGCCTGCGGAGCCGCGGTCACCGCTGGAATCGAAATAACAAAACTTTTATGTAAAACTCCATAAAATAAGTTAATACGCGAGCGAATGGATTTTTGTGTGGTATACGGTATTTCCTATAATTATTAAAAAAGGATCCTAATACAACCTAAACAAAACTGTGGTAGGACCACGCAATAGTCTACGTGCACGAATGGGGTGGTACGTCCAGTAAAGTATCACAACCTCACAGAAGACCGGCGTGAAGTGGAATATATTTGTGTTTCATCTGGTGAGTGAGGTAACCAGGACGCACTTTATTAAAAGGTAGCAAAGCATCTGTAACTCTACAGGTGTTGCAAATGTCTTTAGCGTTATAAAAAAAAATATCGTCTGTGTAGTAGGTACTCGTTTTTTGTGAAAAAGATATTAAATGCAATTGATAACGGCTTAATTAAATAATTGGGAGTTATAGGTTAATGTCATAAATGTGTTATTAGTTGCCTTGGACATTACCTTCTCTCTTAAAAAACATAATTACAATACTATCAACAGCTCCATCAAATAACAGAAAGGTATTAAGAAAATAGTTTTCCTGCGTTTCCAGGGACGTATCGTCCAGAATTGTCGTAGCGCCCCGCGTTATACGCGCCTGCGTTGTACGCGCCAGGGTTGTATCTTCCAGGGGTGTTGTATCCGAGTGTTGTGTATCTTCCGAAGTTGTTGTATCTGTTACCGGAATAAAACTGGTTGGGATTGTAAGCGCCGAAAGAGGCTGTGGACGATGCGAAGTTGTAGCGGGGCGTGGTTGTGCTGAACTGGAATGGCGAAGGCCTGAAAATGAACAACGATTTTTTTTTTATCTCACTAATATTTGAGATACAATACGTTATATATGCATTTTTATTTTTTTGCTTAGGAGTCCAAACTACGCATTAAACTATAAGATGCTCTTTGTCCTTCGTAAAAATGAACTGTTCTTATAGAAAGAAACCAATTGTCTAATGTCGCTTACATTGAAAGCTAGTATACACTACGCTTAGTGCAATATGGTTTTATAACAAGTAAAGTAGGTAAACATTAATATTAAGGGAAATTATCCTATCTAAACGTATATATACTAGGTAGTTCGAAATTCAGCGTTATCAAGTCATAAAACGAATATCGAACCGGTATTAATGAATAAGAAACGCAAATGTGTTATTTTTTTTTTAATTTCACACCACCTGCAATTTTAAGATAACCTTTAAAACAATTAATGCTAGGTTTGTGTTTCCTATTTTATTTTTATTTGATGACTCTTTCTACCATTTAAAATTGTTTTATAAAAATGCCTAAATCGCCTCATTAGTGTGACTTTCGGAGTTATCAACTGTTATAAGCTGCTTAATAAACGGCTTCAGATGTAACATCTAACATTGATATACAATATTTAAAAATAAACTAGAGTTTTGGTTGAGATTCGGTACTTACTTCGCTGTTTCAGATTCAGCCGCAAAGGCAGCCGCTACCAGAACACTCAGCACCTGTTAAATTAAAATTAATAATTAGTGGCATTGTAAATTTTTTTTTGCAATTTAAAAAGATGCAGTAGGAATTCTTTAAAAATGTCCTCAACTTGTAAATTTGACATGGAGGACGACTTAAATTAACGTGTTCCTTATAATTTTGATCATATATTAATTAAGAGCTTACTTGCTACTTGATTAATACATACCAAAAACGTCCGCATTTTGTTATGATCTATCGGACTTAACTTCCTGAATGTGATGAATCGAAGATTGACGCCTATATATACCTTATTTTCATCTTATTCTAAAGTTATTCCTATGTCCAGTTCTACTAATTTGTATATTTTTAAAACGATTAGTTATTCATCGTCAGAGATTCTCAATCTTCTCGTTATCAATCAATTATTTTAACATAAATTTGTCAATATTTGCCAAAGTATGTGGACAATTAAATATTATACCAGAGATTTTATGAAATATTTTACTACACAGCTAAACCTTACTAGCGTGATAATAGTATTTTATTTATAAAACAATGGCATAAAATTGCGGTAATCATTAGTTGATATAACAGTTGTCTGTTTTTTCGAGCTTCTACACTTCTTTTATTTCTTGCACATTATTATCTATTGTACATAAATACAAAAAAAAATTATAATAAATTAATGTAGTAGGGAATTTCAATTGCAATTTAAGACATGTTGGCCATTTCTTACAGACGAAGACAAAGAAACAGTTGAAACTTAGATTAATAACCAGAGCTTCATTTCAATATTTTCTTTTTCTAAATAACAGTACTACTACAAAACGTAAAACCTAAATGTTTTGAAAAGTAACATTTAAAGATTATATGTTTATTTCGATTTTGATTTCAATTTTCATGTTAAATCATATGAATGGTTTGCTTTTTCGATTATCATACATAATTAAGTCTGTTAAAAAACGCTTAAGGAGTACAAGTATGAAGCTACATTATACAGTCTCATGGCTCCCACGAACTGTATATTTTTTAAATAATTCAAGTGTCTTTTAGTAATTTTTATCTATATTGAACAATGTTTTAGCTATCACTCTATAAATTACTAAAGCTTTATCTAACGTGGAGCTTATGGAACAGACAGATTCCATGAACTTGGTGGGACAGTTATGTTTTACATTGTTGTCTGTATTGTATTACTTCTACTAAGTAACGTCCACCTTATACATCAGCAATACAGCAACCCATAGCCAGCTTTGTAATTACTGAATAAAACAATACCGACCTCGCATAAATCTCACTAACCAAACCTTTTACATTTGATTATATCGCTGGAGTGCAAGGTTCAATACCAATTAAAATGGGACTACAAGCGAACTGAAATGTCACCAACGAAAAAAGAAGCTTTAAATCGGTTCATAAATGCAGGATTAAGAGCAGATTTTTTTTGAATTTGGGTGTTATCAAACGGTGATTACTAAATATATTAAACGGAGTCTCAAATGACGTTTGGGAGTTTACAACATTTGTTTTAATGTTATAAAACTGCTCTATAAATCGTATAATAAATTTTAGCGTTAAATCCGTTTTAGTCAATGAGGAATTTACAAATCTATAAAACATTAAGAAACTTTGATTTTTGTGAAAATACAAATGAAAAGTAGATCGATTGAATTGCTAATTATTTTAATTGATCGATATTAATATGATTGAAATATGGTTCGATGGCATTTTAATCAAGAATTTTTAGTGTCAAATTTATTTCAACTCTGCAAACAGTTTGTGGTTTTATTTCAATAATTCATCAATCCAGATTTGTGACCACAATAACAAGATATATTAACTTTTAGACGTATAGAAGTTGATTTATATTTAAGGTGTTGTATAAAAATTTAATACAATATGTTCCAATATCATGCATCTTGTCGCATACCTGATACTATTGTTTATCCTTTACCACTTTCATTCTTATTTTAATGTTATCAAAAATACTTTCATAAAAAAGCCTATGGTCGGGTTGTGTGAATTTTCTTTTTTTATTGTTTGCAAGAAATTTGAACTACCTACACTCCAAAGAGGATTTATTTATTTATTTATTTAAGGATATCGTTAACTGTTAATAGTATACTTTAGTTACGATAAATTTTATTTAAAGGCCATAAAATAATGTATAAATAAGATCGTATGTTACTAATTTAACAGATCAGCTATATAGTAACAGACCTTATAGAGATCTGTTACTGGTTGGCAATATTCACTGAGACATCGATTATTAATTGCAATTTCGCCGCTGATACTGACATGTGCACTAATGTCAATGTTGTTGACGACACAAGAGCACAGTGGATCATCCATTTCTCCTTACAGTCTGTTTATACAATTAACAAAAGACTTAATAAACTGAATATCATAGCTTTAAGTACCGTAAGTTGCACCATACGTTTTTAAAATGTGATAACACCACACTACTAACACAAAGTTGGACTTATTATATTTGCATCTGCAAATATAATAAGTCCATTAAATATTTATTTATTTATTATAAATATTTAAACAAAATTAGTATAAAATAAAAAAATAATCAAAATCAAGGCTAGTGAATTTATTTTGCTATTAAAAAAATACATACTTATGTTCGAATAACGCAGTAGTAGTACCATCCAAGTGTGTTCATAGCATCGTCATCATCATCATGATTCAGCTTGTTTGAGACCACTGTTGAACATAGGCCTCCCACAGATTACCACAAAGCACGATTCTGAGCCACCTGCAACTATAGAAAACCATCGATTTCCCGCACATTTGCACAGGTCGTCACTCCATCTAGTGGGAGGTCGTCCTACACTGCAATGGCCAGTACGAGGATGCCATTCAATAACCTTTCTTTCCCATCGGTTATCGGTTCTACGCCGGCCCATCCCACTACAGCTTGCTAATCTTCTGAGCCATGTCGGTTACTTTTGTTCTACTGCCGAAGACATCCTCGTTGCGAACTCGATCACGCAGTGAAATACCGGGCATAGCCCGTCCATAGCTTGCTGAGTGACTTTGAGCTTCCTCATCAGTGAAGGATCACTTCTCGGTTCCGTAGGATAGTACTAACACTAGCAACACACATTAATTGAAGACTTTTGTCTTCAAAGATTGAGGGATATTAAACGAAAAGATAGCACAGTACTCCATTGTAAATTATAACTAGTAAGTTATTGTGCTAAGCTATAGTATATATATATTGTGCTAATAATATTCAGATCAAAGTAAGTTATGTTTAAAATTATTAATGTTTAATATTAATTAATTATTAAAGAATATATAACCCTTGATAACTTGCCTAATAAATAATTGATTCAAGCTATTACTAAAAATAATTATACCTTAAAAGGCAGAAAAGTAATGGCTGCGTGTATCGACTTATTGTGTATATACACGCAGCCATTACTTTTCTGCTTTTTAGCACATGACTAATATTTGTCAAACTAAATAGTATATTATACATTTGGTGTTAGACTTATCTAATGTCAAAATTATGTGAATGTTTAATTTACAACACTCTAATTCAGTATGTATTTATCTCCTTAGCATTAGTAATTTTATGTAACGTGCCATTGACCTTAAAGATGAATAATATTTAATACCATTTAAAAAATTGTTTTCTCTTATATACCCGGATATTAAAGGTCATGTGATCGAATAGAAAATTTGTAATTATATATTAACTTGTAAAAGATGGCCTGGTGCTTATTTAAAAAAATGTAATGAGACAAAAAACTGAAGATGTCGGAATAATAAACTTATAAAGCTAGCTTGTTAAAAGTCGAAGGGACGTCAAACACAGCCTGTTCCATGATCATGAATAGAAAAACCTCATTCAAAACGTTAGGACGTTACCAATCTTCTGCACTTAGATATAAGAATTCTTAATTGCTTCCCTGTCATAAGGAATACGTGATAGGTAAACTTGTTTAAAATTTTCAAGCTAAAACAATATTTCTCTTTCTCTATTTTTTTAATAATCTGTTTCAATTTTATCTTATAAGGCATATTCATCATCTCTTATATCATGTACTGATGGGAAAGATTTATTCCCAATCAATGATGAATTCAATGAAGATAAATTATTGACTCATAGAATAATAAAAATATATTAAATTAACACGAAAATACATAATTATAGAAAGACAGTTTTTACAAAAATGTTTTTCTCTCGACTGCAATTGACACACGTTGGAACAGTACAAATTTTCAAATTTAATACCTGTTATCTGTAAGTGGCCAGTAATCCTTAGCGGAATGTTATGAAATCTCTAACATATACATCGTGTGCGCGTAAAAATTTCACACCGAAATTTTTCCAAACGAGCCAAAAGAAGTGCAACTTCAAAAATAAAAATATGCCTAAAGTTTTGATTTATTAATATGTTGAAAAACATGTCACCAGGTTCGTCATTCAAATTCAATCGTTAATGGAAAACGTGTAGGGCAAGTTCCTTAACAAACATGTTTTTTACGAGTAGACACCGATTCATAACATTTTTAATGAACACAAATTAAAATTAGTCATTTGACTTTGGTCTATTTTTAGTTTGTGGGGGATTTCGAAATAATGACAGTTTACTTATAATCGTAATACTTGAGAAGCTTTTAAAAATTTTCACTTTACTTATCTGATCCTGCTAAATTGTAGGACAAGTTAGAATATGATTTTTTTATCTACCATCAAGCCAACAGAATAGAAAATATATAAATATATCATAGAAATGAAATATTTGATTAAGGTATATAAGGCTTGTTTAGTCGATACAATCAACTTTGTTACAGAGTACGTCGACCTACAAGTGTGGGGAACTCCGTAGTGCATGACTCAGAATTCGTCAAGGACCAAGCCCGTATTCATAAGAACACAAAAACTGCAAACACTGATCAAACCTCTTTTTTTTATTTATAACGGACAAAACGAAATTTATTCAAATGTATTTAATTCTAATACTAATTATTATTGATATATATTTTTTAAATAAATATTTTCGGACACATTATTACATTACATTCTCTAGTCCCAAACTAATCAATGCTTGTACTATGGGTATTAGATAGCTTTTTCTTTTGTAAATAAATACATATTATACATATATAAACACCCAGCCACTAGAAAAACCCTATGTTCATCACACAATATTTTTTAGTAGTGGGGATCGAACCACACCACTGGCGCGACGCAGGAGTACACTACCACTACGCCATTAGGGTCGTCGTCGTTGTTAATAATTTGAAAAGTATTTATTTACTGAAACTTTATATTCCTTTATATAAAATTTCCACATAATAAAGACTGAGAATGCATCGCCATTGCGAAAATTAACGAGAAGGTTTCAACTGCTTCAAAATTCAGGGTGGGTACTATGGTAATGTCAATTGTTTGATTCCTTACATGCAGAAATCACCACCTTTAACAAACACGTGACCTGACCTGACATACTCGATGAAAAGAACAGCATCTGTGAACAATAAGTTTACTTTATACGTAAGTACTTCAAATAAATCAAATCACTTTGGATGGTATGACATTGGGTGACATGTATACTTTGATGACTTACATGTCCTTGAAATAAAGTCAAGCACTTACGCAAAGCTTTTATCAAAATCATTACGTTTCATAAAAACTGAAGTGCTTGAATCGTAAGTTAAGGAATTCAAATATGGTGCTGACATCAACACAACAACTATATAAAACCTTTTTAATGTACTGCAAAATGAATTCATTATTTAAATTAAGTAATTATATAAATACATGTTTTAGTTTTTGAGCCAGGGCCAATCAAGAGTCGTTGCGTAAATAAAGGTAGTAATTGTTAATTCATAATGTACAGGAATTCATAATGCAAAATGCAATATGCTCATGAAGTATTATACTATAATATAGATGCATAATTAAGTAACTATAGTATTTTTAATTTTTTGTAGCCATCACTTAGTTATAAAACACTTAATTTTTTGTATAAAATAGTATTTAAATAAATGTACGTACCTTTCTAAAAAAATCCTTATTGCGCTTTCAAGAAAAAATGCTAAATTATTTAAGATGGCGCTTATAAGTTTATTAAACTATTATATGATATAATGTAATCTACAGAGTATTATGTTACTTCTTAGTAGTATAGACGATGAAACTTGTATTATTATTGCCCGCGGCGCCAAGGTATACCGATGTAACACTTTGCAAACTGAAAAAAATAGAGTCGAGTATGCTTTAAGAACTAATCACTTAACGGCAAATGTTCGAAACCGATACTTATGAGTGTGAACGCGTGTCCTATGTTTAAAAGAATCCATCTATTTTAACATTAACTTATTATTACCAATAACATAAATCTTTCTCGTAACAATAAATCTACCATTCTATATATCATTAAATAATACATCATTCTTCTATTCTTAATAAATCAATTTCAGAATAAGTCGATGAACTTTCGCCAATCTAATGAATTTTAATTGCTGCACTTCTTGTTCAAACGGTCCGTTTATTCGATTGTTTCTCAATTGATAGGCAGAGAACTTGTGTATCATAATTTATAATTCTTCGCGATACACCACTTCAGTAATTGTTGTACTAGGTCTTAGGAAACGGAAAATGCATAGGTTTATCACACTCACATGAAGCCTTTTTGGACCTGATTTGTGTTTGTGTTAGGGTTTGGCCGCCTAATCTCTGTTATCAATTAGTCTTGGGGGCATGAGGCTACCGGAAAGCCTTTTAGGAGTTTAACGGCGTACCTAATTTGTTAATACCTGTTTCTGTAGTCCTATAATGATAATCACCATCAGATATACAGTTCGTTTACTTGTCTTTGTTTCATTCACTCATATTCATTTATAGGATGTGAAATGTGACTTGGACCGGTGCCTTTTTAACATTTCTTCATATGTGAACAGAACATTCTTCTAATATAAAAAGGAATGATGAATGTAAAGGACTTTGACGGGCGCATATTTCAATTGAAATAAATTATAAGAAAACTCGTTAATGAAATAATCAACAAGCAGAATTCTTCGATCGCTTATAGTTTTCGAGAAAAAAAATATTTAAAACTTGTTATTTTCAGTGAGAAAGTCCCCCATTTTATTAATTTGACTTCAAAAACTCAGTACACAGTCCTGCCAACATGATAAATATTGGAAGCGAGTGACTAATTCGCGCCCGTCAATGTTATTTGCCATAAGATATCAGTAAATATACAAATACTAGCGACCCTCCCCGGCTTCGCACGGGTGCAATGTGTTACACATATGAACCTTCCTCTTGCATAACTCTATCTAGTAAAAAAAACGCAACAAGATCCGTTATGTAGTTTTAAAGATCTAAGCATACATAGGGACAGACAGATAGCGGGACGACTTTGTTTTATACTATGTAGTGATGCACAGCAAAGAGACGTTTACATTTCAAGTGACATTTTACCACAGACACTCACTTGTTTTACCTTCCCGGAGCCCCTTTCACTAACACTTAAATTTTATGGTATGGTGTTCAAATTGACTTTTAAATATTATTACGAGTCTTTGTGTACTTGTATGTACGGGAATATAGAACAATGTTGTTTTTAGACTTTTTCAGGCAATTATTTAATTTTTTTCTTTCATACGAACCTTCTCCTGATAATAACAAACACAACAAAAAAAAGTGAAATCGGTCCAGTCGTTCACGCGTGATGGCGTGACAAAGGAAAATAAGGATTCATATTTATATATATGCTAGCTGTGCCCGCGACTTCGTCCGCGTGGAATTTAAAATAAAAAAAATCTAAAATAAAAGTAGCCTATGTTACTCCTTACTACATCAGATTTCGGTCAGTGCAAGTCTCGTCCAAATCGGGCTAGCCGTTTCAGAGATTTGCCGGAACAAACAGACAGACAGACTGGCAAAAATCGTAAAAAAAAATGTAATTTTGGTATATGTACCGTGTCATCCATATGCATTTAGTAAACAGCGGTTATTTTAACATTACAAACAGACACTCTAATTTTATTTATTGGTATAGAAATATTATAATATGGATGACGATATATATTTCAAGAAACATTTATATACATATATTTATCGAGATCCAAGTACGAAGTATTGAAATGTCAATTTTTTGTAGAAAAACTAAAACTGGCAATAAAAATAAATTTTATCTTAAATTATGATGTGCTGTTAAAGATTGGATTACACAACATCTCCTAAAAACCCTCCTCAGAAACGTTCACGTTTACTATCACGATAAAACTATTAACTCAAAAAAAAAAAAAAATATTTATATTATTAAAATTTACATAATTTTTAAAAGAAATCATTCATCAAATACACACTACAATGACTTCCTAGGATTCGTGACAGGGTTGGAATGAAGCGTGCATAGAGTTTTATCAAAAGAAACCAATTATAGGTTTATTTTTAAACGTAATACTTTAAATGCAAAAGTAACCTAAGACCCTTATAGCATTAGTATGTTGTGAAACACTATTTTTTTTTTGTTTTTTATAAAAACATTGCCCTCGCTTTAGGATAACATTATGCTGTGTTGTATAGGACGTTTTAAAAACATAAATTGCTCGAGGACAAACACCCAGATGCGAAACAACTATCTGTGGGTCGCAAAAATAGTTGTCCCATGTGGGAATCGAACCCACGACCCCCGACGCCGAAGCCAATACCTTGGCAACTGCGCCACGGAGTCTATGTATGCACCCAGCTATTGCAGTTTAGTTCTATGGAGCTTCGGCTTTTTATCTTAAATGATCCGGTTAACAGCAACACAGAGCAGTATCAAAAGTAATTACTATTTTTAATTTTGTTCGTAATTTCTGCACTTAGGGTAGATCTTACAAGTCCATTTTTTTATCAACGAAAAACAAAACCAACTTCATGTTTTAAAACCAACTTCAAATATCTCGCTCTGTATTAATTTAATTATTGATTTTCAGGATATTCCCTAAGTATCTCCGGAGCCCAAGATCCAATGCATTGCACATAGGAAGCTTTCAAATAAAAAAGGAATCATCAAAATCAGTTAACTCAGTCGAAAGGTCTGAGGTAACAAACATAAAAAAATACAGAGAACCTCATTCTTTTTTGGAGGTGGTTGAAAATGAGTATATAAAATTGTTGACTCTCACTATTTATAAAAAACGATAAATATGCATACATCCCTAACAGTTCTACAGCTCATTTGTCCGCTGGACTAGTCTTTGGGGGTGCACTGAGAGGAATTCGTAAGAAAAGTATTTTTATACTTATCTTCTCCATTTATACTCTTCCCAAGAGTAACGATTAATTATTATCGCAAGGTTAATTACTCAAAAATAAAAAAGACAACTTTGTAACAAACAACCTCTATATTTACATATAATTTGCGAATAAGCAAAGGCTAGCAAAGCAGTTATTAATACGGATTCATCGTATCTTGACATACATTTTACATTAATGACTATACAATAAGCAGCAAAACTAGACTTCTTCAAGGTAGATGGGATCCAGTTGGAAGAAAGCCTCGTTCGTCGGCGGTGTAATCCACTCTGTAAGTAACGCCGTCGGGGGCCACAAATTCGTAGAAACCTTTAGCTCTGGTACCGTAGTTCTCGTTGTCTATTAATTCGACCTTACCGGCTTCTTCGGCTAAAATTTTGTTCTCGGTCTCGTATAGATAGTGATAACCATCGGGCGGCAGGTAGTCGTTTTCGAGGCGTATAATTCCGTATTTGTACTCGTAATTACCACCATCGTACTTTCCGATCACTGCAACTAGTGGGAGCTGCGTAGTTGCCGGTTTTTGTGTGGGCTTATATGTGAATGACGTTGGGGAGACACTTGGCAGTGGACTGGGTGACGGAGCATTCGTAGGACTCGGAGTTGAAATCGCTTCGATGGGCGTTGGGCTGGGAACATCACTAGGTGTCGAGCTGGATTCTTGGTAGCCTGCACTGGCGGAAGCTTCACTCAATCCTAATGTAGTAGCACTGCTACTCGTGGACTCTCCTAAAGAGCTGCCACCGCTGAAATTGAATTTAAAATTAAAGTTATCATTGTAAAATAAATAAATTTTAAGTACTCTCTACAACAATAATTAGCCCATTTATGCTTCTCTTAAATGTAAATTATTCATTATTTACTTTTATAAAGATTAATGATTTACATATTCGAAATATATGTAGCTTGACACATAATTCTTCATATCCATGCATTAACCTACCTCGGACTACCAGTGTACTTGTTGGAATCGCCGGTGTAAAGTCCTCCCGGACCCCCGACTGTGCCCGAGCCAGAGTAAGAACTACCTGGCCCTCCTGGTCCGCCTGGTCCTCCTGCAGATCCTGAACCACTGTAGAAGCCTCCAGCACCTCCTCGATCGCCACGATCACCGCTATCAAAATAGAATTCTCAATAACGAAAGAAAAAATCTTATTTCTTTTTCTTTCATTCTAAAAGCTACCCACCAGACCAGAATACAAAAATACAGAAAATACCGGCCATTCACTACATTGATTAAATAACTTAATGTGTCGTACTTTGGTGGTATACACTGTACAGACATTTTGATTCCCAACGCCATATTCACGGGACATCACCATGTGACCATGAACGCTGTAAAGGGTTCGAAACGTAGGGAATTAAAATTAAAAGAGAACATTTGAGGAAGTCCCTTTAAATGTTTTTTTTTTATTTTATTCTGTTTTTTAGATTTTCTTGTGATAGCGGCATCATCTGTGAAAATGTCTAACTATCACGCTATAAGAGATACAGCCTGGTGATAGACGGACAGACAGACAACGAAGTCTTAGTAATAGGGTCTCGTTTTACCTTTTGGGTACGGAACCCTAAAAACCGAAAATACTAAATACCACATTAAATAACGAAAGCCAACAAGGAAGGCAAACAACAGATTAGGTGAGAGGGTTTATGAACACTGGTTAAGAAACTGTAATAAAATATAAATGTATTTATTATATACTTAAGCATATATTTCGCGAATAAGGAAACGCCGTTGGGCAGATAATGACAATGATGCTGATAACTATGACTTGAACCTACAGTATCAAAATTAGCTGACACCGAAGCTTAGAATGATTTTTATGATGATAACAACGATGATTAGGAGAAAGACATATAATTTTACTAACTTTTTTCCTAAGATTATTTCGAAATAAAGTTTTATTGTATACAATTACCTACATATTTAACTTTTTTATAGTGATAATAACAGCTGAGTATAATTGTTCATTTCAGGGGTTTGTATTGTTTGGTCTACAATTTGGCTGGTTGATTTAAAGCTTCTGTTTTTACTCACCTGTACAGTTGTCACAAACTCAACTCTGTGAATGCGAGGCATTCCAAGTACATGAAAAATTACTTAGGACGTTAGCTTCCATATTTAGAATAAGTCGTGTCTAATCGCTCTGGGATCCTAATCTAAGTACTACAAGAAGTGTCATCATCAACGTATGTATAAAACAGTAGCATTCCTGGATTGTTTTTTTTTTTTTTTTTTTTTTTTGAGTAGATTGGGTGGAAAATATACTTACTAAAACATATTTACTCATTTTAATTGAAGTAAATGGTAATGGTAATGGCACCAGTAATGTAACATAATCGAATTGTTTCGAACACAAAGTTTTTTGAGATGAAAAATAGCGATTTATTGGCGGTTCACGTCAAATACAAATATCACCTCAAATATAAATGATGCCTCATCTACCTCTAAAAAAAGTAAAGTCCTGTCAAATCTGTGATAACTTACTTGTAAGCTCCAGAGTTGTCGGGAATGTAGCGTCCTGTGCTATCATACCGCCCTGAACTGTAACGACCGGCCTGATATTTACCGGGATCGTATTTTCCGGGATCATATTTGCCCGGATCATAACGGCCAGGATTGTAACGCCCAGCGGTGTCATATCTAGTTGCTAGATACCGAGGTGTTGTTGTAGTAAATTGGAAAGGGTTGAACCTAAAAAAGAGCGTTTTATAATTTAACCTATAAAAGTATTGTATAAATAAACCTATAAAAGTATTTGCCAAAAACAAGTAATTAAACTGTATTAATGCAATATAACAATATATTTATAACATTGATCTTTTGAAATCTATTAATGTTATATAAAATTAAAATATTTTAATCAATTATCCATCGGTCGATAGCAAAACTTATAAGGGATCTTTTATATCAAATAATAAACTATTTCAGAGTATATTATTGTATTATCTATTACAGTATAGTATTAACAAGTGTTAACTACTTTAGCCAATATGACATTGAATTACAAAAAGTTTTTTTTTGAAAATGATTCTTTGTAAACTTTAGTTAAGTTAATGATACATTATTGTTTGCTTTCGTAATATTTAACGAAACATTGTTTCCATAATTAGATACCATATATGATTAACAAAACATAAAAATCACAATAATTACCTTCCAATTTCAGCCGCCGAGACAGCCGTTACAGTTAAACAGAGTGCCTTTAAAAACACAATTGCTTGTTATTCAGAAAGTTTCGTTTAATAAGTTACAAACGTCGTAATAAAATATTAAATAGATTCATCTTATAAATTTTGGGATCAATTTTTAATACATTTTTAATAAATGCAATTATAATTATTTCTTTAAAACTTAAAAAACATGTAATATTGAAAATGAAATCGACTCGCAACTATTTCAAGTAAAAAATTCTACTACGTATTATGTGTCGTACAGAGTACGAAGAAAAATATACTGTAATACTTGACAAATCGCCAAATTAAAATTGAAAAAGTATTACGTACCAAGATCCCCCTCATTTTCCTAATATCTAATAGGAAGCTGGTAGATGAATGTGCTATTCCAAAGGCGGAAGCCTTTTATATGTTTTTTTTTTTCACCCAATTTCATAAATTTATACTAGCGTCCAGTTCTTCTCATTTATAATGAGTAAACAAATTATGATTAGTTATTCAATAACAGAGATTCTCAATCTTTGCGCCATAACTTTATTAATTTACGCCTATATTAACTGTCCCCACAGCATTAATTGCAATAATTTCTGTTTTTAATGATGATCCTCAATAAAGGCAAGTGGTTAGTAGTTTGTTTACATGCATTAACTTCACATATTACGTCACATTATAAATAGAGATCAGTGCTTTGAAATCGACGTAAGAAACCTGCATCAAACACTTAGTGTGAACAGTTATTCTATTATTATTCGTCATGTACCTACGCGAATTACTTTTATCGCTCAATTTGAAGAAACGTCTATTTATTTTGACAATGATATGGCGAATACAAAGTAGCTACTTGTCCAATAACAGTAAAAGACCACTCGATGGAATCTGTTATCTTGCGTAGGTGTCGTCTATTTTCTTGAATTTTATGCTTATTTAATGCTTTTTTTACGGAAGTAGATTTACATTTTACACGCATTCCAAAAAAATATATATATCAGGCACGAGTATCGGCATTTACATAAAAATTAATTACTTGAAACGTAATTAACAAATGCCTTTGTTTATACATATTTAAAGCTTTCCGAAAAATAGGCGCATTTTACAAGGTTTTTACTATAGATATTAAACAAGACAAAAATGTTTTTACGTATATATTTACATATTATTTCGCAAATAAACAAAGCTAAATTGGAGACATAGGATTTGTGCAACAAGCTTTCAATAATAATAGAACAGTATTAAAATAAACTTAAAAATAATATCATGTAATGGACTAGAAAATCTACGGTAAATGGGTTCCGACTGGAATAAAGCCGCGCTCATCTGCGGTATAATCAACTCTGTAAGTGACACCATCAGGGGCGACGTATTCAAAGAATCCTTTAGACCTGATACCATAGTTTTCGTTATCTATCTTCTCGGCCTTGCCAACTTGCTCAGCGAGGATCTTGTTGTCTGTTTCGAGAAGGTAACGGTAACCGCCTGGAGGCCGGTAGTCGTGCTCCAAACGGATGATCCCCTGTCTGTATTTGTATTTTCCGTCATTCACATTGCTTACGAACGCAACCAACGGTGGCTTTGTGGGGGCTGGCGTGGGTGCAGGCTTGTACACTGGTGGCAATGTCGGGGTTGGGCGAGGCGTTGGTGACGGGGTAGGGGCAGCAGTAGTTGGTGCAGGTTCCGTGGGCGTGGCAGTGTATTCGGGAGTTGTGGATGCGAAAGCAGACGCCGTATTACCAGATCCAGCGTTCGGACCGCCCTGATAAGCGCCACCACTGAAAAATAAATATTAATTAGTTAAAAATATTACAAGATTTGAAAACTTTTCAAATAACTTTGTAATGATTTTTCAAGCCCTTGACTCAGAATTTCAGTGTAATGATTAATATTCATGCTCAAATAGTTCATCGGAATAATTAGAAAACTTACGTGGGAAAACCATTATTATCGGGTTTGTATTTTCCACCATCTTCTCCATCGTAAACATAACCACCTCCTGGCCCACCGGCACTGCTAGAACCAGTGTAGAAACCACCAGCACCACCGCGGTCTCCACGGTCTCCGCTAAATTATACAGCTTATGTTAACTCACATTGGATTATTAAAGCGTTAATATCATCGAGAATCTAATATAACAAAAGAATTAAAAATTAAAGGATTAACATGATGTTATATAACTATGAATAAAAGCTGAAAATCGAGTTAAAGGTGTCTTATGTATTACCGATTTGCAGCGACGGAGGTTGATTTGGTCTCTAACTAAGTTGATGATGATAATTAGGGCATAAAATTTAACGACAAAAATTAAATTTCTTCACAAACAATCTTACAAGAAAAGTAATTATTTTGTAAAAACTAACTAATGTCAAAAAATGACGGTAAAAACTATTGTTTATTAAACTTACTTATACGCTCCAGAATTATCAGGAGTCCACTTTCCAGACTTGTCATATCTGCTGGGATCATAACGACCGGGATCATATTTACCTGGGTCGTAACGCCCTGGGTCGTAACGGCCAGCGTTATAACGACCAGGATCGTAACGAGAAGGATTATACCGACCAGCACTATCAGCAGGAGTTGTTGCAAATCTTGCAAAGTTATAATACTGAATGAGTGGGATTATAACGGGGCGTTGTCGTTAAAAACTGGAAGGGCGAAGGGCTGTAAAAGAAATCAATGTAATTACGTATTTTATCAGAACTAATATCACAACAAATCTAATTATGCAAGTTATTATTAAAAATTACCTTCCAGACTCCGCGGCAAACGCGACTGTTACAGTCAGACATAGTACCTTGAATGAGAAAAGACACATTTTAAATTTAACATAATATATAATCTCAAAACGTTTTGGACCAAATAAGGTTGCAATAAAAATATTGAGAAGGTGTAATAAATTAACATAATGGACCATTGAATTAAGCTTTAACGGCTTCTCGAATCATTTGCATACTATTTAGATCACTTTATCTAATGTTTACTATTCGATCGATATACGAACCAAAATGCCCCGCATTCTGATCCTGCTTAGCGAGCTACCACAACTACTTGAATGTGCTGTCTAAAGGATCCAAGTCTATATATACCTTTTTTCACCTACTTCTAAGTGTAGTATCTCATGTCCAGTTCATCTCATTTGTAATATGTAAACAAACAAGACTTCAACGGCAGAGATTCCCAATCTTCTTACTAAGAACACCAACGTGAAATGTTATATGCATTTATTAAATAGTCATTTTTGAACAATTTTACTTTAAAAATCGTATCATATAAAGAAAATCTGATATGAATATTACAAATTAACTACTTCTTATATTTATTTATTCATAAATTGACATTCCTTTTTTTATATATAAATATATTTTAGGACTTACCGCACAAAATTATAAGAAAGGAGTATCGTTTAAATATCACTGAATCTCTAAGTACACTGGTTTCGATTTGTTTAATACTATGATGAGGTCAAATGAGATAACAAAAGCTAGCTGTACAGCCCCCTCGAGTCGAACTTTAAATCGACTTCCGTTCCCAGCGGAGTACCTGGTCCACCACGTTTCAGACGCAGTGGGTAGGGAAAGAGCATGCACAACACCGACCCTCGCCCTACCCCGCGGTCCCATTACTGCTGAATTAATGGCTTAGCCGCAACGAATTGAGGTGGATACATAATACACAATACCAACTTTCCTCTTCTCACGCATCTCCACCTTGGTTGCAGAGGACTCTACATCTACCAACCACAATCTGTCCCCGCACCCCCCTAGCAAGCATCCGCCATAGGCTTAAAGAGCCCACTCAGACCGGCTTTCCCGGAACGGCCTTACACCATAGGCCAGCCCAGTGTAGTTTCCTTTTGACTTCACCGTGGAGGACCAAACCTACTTAACCCTTCCACAACTTCAAGAATCTGGTCGGTGGAAAATTTCCACGAAAATGATGCGCGTTTGCAATTGTCGCGATGTATTAACCATAAAATGTCTTACATAATAGTAGTATCACAAAAGCATAGACTCTCTTACATTTGAGGCCTCAGGCATTCATTCAAATTGGATCACACCTGAGCCCAAGCGACCTCTGCGAAAAGACAGTACCTCTGGCCTACTCTGTTTAATCTATGAGGTTTTGTGAAAGTCACAGTTTATATACATAAGTATGATAAAGACCTTATTAACTTAAAAAAGAGTATCTTATAAATCAAAATGTTTGAAGATTTGAAAACATTTCAACCTAGTTTTAAGTTGGAGTACAAATTTTTGGAATTGCGATTTATACTCAGAATTTTCGTAGGAACTATCTGCCTACCTCAAGGGCAGGCATACTTATTTTCTCCATGTAAAACAAAATCTTTGTCAAGACTGCTGTCATCGCCAAACAAGACCAAACAGTTTTAACCTAATATACTGTTATATCATGAAGGCACTTACGGAGCCAAGACTTGGTCTTTTAAATTTTGGCCGACCAATTTAAAGTCAATTAACAAGTTTTCAAGTGAAAATTTCCATCCTGAGAGAATGGAATACTACTAAGAGGTGCTTGCTTCCGAAAGATCTCGATGAACAAAACGGACATCAGAAGAAATACCTTTTAGATGGAAAACTAAAAAAAGATAGACCATAAAGAAGATAAAGAGATGTACTATCAAAATTGTTTGTCGAGGAAAGCATAGGGAAATATGGAACAAGTTAAGAGATACCTACCGGAGACACCGCTGAGGTGACTATAACAGAAAAGTGACTATGAAAACAGTAATTAGTATGTTAGAACTTTAGGTTAGCAGTGTATTTTATATTAAGATCGTAGTATAAGGTAGTGAAACTCAACAGGACTGGTCTCTTGCATCAGCAACAAATCATTTTGATTTAGATAACACTCCATTATTTTATCTACTTTATAAAACAGCAAGGAACAACGCTTATTAGCACATAGGCCCAAAAAATTTTAGGCCCATAGAAATTGGGTTCATTATTCTCTTTGACACCGCTTATACAAAACAAGAAAAATTCGTAGAGGAACGATAAGTCTCGCAAGTAAGCGTGTGAATTACACACACATTCCATTCAATTTTAGCCTCAGAAATTAACGCTCCTGAATTCGAACCTGCATCTTCTGGTTTTGAGCCCAGACGCTTTACCAACTAAGCTAAGCGGCCGATGACCTCACGGCGTGAAAATTTTGATATCTATCTACGTTCGTTCTAGTGCATTTTTAGCAAAGCTTGGCATCTATTGTGTATCCTTTACAGCATACAACACCTTACAAATAACGTACAACAAACAGTTTGTTCTCACAGTTTAAAATCGTGTTGTTATCCAAGTCGTCCAGTCTGCCTTTCTTAAAGCAAAATGAAAAAATGTACTGAAAGAATTTCTTTCGATAATTTGTTGTGTGATATTAAACTTTTTTTTTTGTAAATTTATCTTTCCATTGCACGTACCATACGTGATAGAGAATATTTTTATACGCTTATGGGATATATTATGATTTATATTTATAAAATAATGACTTAATGTTCATTTACAAATACCTTTATTTTAGTTATTACTTCCACGATTTTATTTTTGCTACAGTTTGAGAACCTCATCAATTGATACGTCACACTGAAACCGATTCTTAAGATGCACATCAGCTAGCTTTATCTTCACACATCTATACAAACTTCGTGTGATATGAACAATACATAGATACAAAACACAGTAACAGGATTTTTTTAAATATTTATATTTATTCTCTAATTTCCATTTGTGGTATAAAAAATGAACTATTTAAATTTATGATCTTTTTTATTATTTCGTAGCGGTCACAATAAACCTGTTATAGATGGATGTTACATAATACTGTTAATTGAATTAAAAATAGGTTTTTACTTGGTTTTATATTTAGTTCTAAAATTAAACATGGAAAAAAAAGTATACATAACAAGTAGGTACGTAAAATAAAACGGTTTTTATGAATAACAAAAAAGATTATAACAATTCTTAATTATTAATATTTAACATAGGGTTTTGTATCTCTATGTAAAAAGAACAACATGTTTTGCAATAAAAAGTAAATATAATATTAAAATAAAAAGCACGTTCAAAATAAGTACAAACACCTACACACCGGTTAATATGTATATTTTTATGGACACATCCTTACTAATATTATAAAGGCGAAAAATTGTATGTATGGATGGATGTTTGTTACTCTTTTATGCCAATACTACTGAATGTATTTTAATGAAACTTTACAATAATATAGCTTATACATCAGAATAAGACATAGACTATAATATAAAAGAGATTGTTTGAATTGTACAAACTATAGGTAATGGTAAGTGTCAACTAAGTGTATAAAAAAAAGCTCATTGTTAATTCCCTTTGACGCGCGGGTGAAGCCGCGGATAACAGCTAGTATTATAAACGCGAAAGTTTGTATGTATGGATGGATGTTTGTTACCTTTTCACGCAAAAACTACTGCATAGATTTTAAGAAACTTTACAATAATATAGCTTATACATCAGAATAACACATAAGCTATAACTTATAAAGATATTATGTGAATTGTCCAAAATATAGGTGGCGGGCGAAGCCGCGGTTAACAGCTAGTATACCTATAATTTTGAAGTTTTCCAAAGAAAAATGTTAAATGTTTCATAGTGCTTTCAGAAGAATTCATATTTTTCTTAAATAGGGGAACTATTTAAGAAACTTTTACTGAATAGCTAATATTTAGATTTTTTTTATAAAATTTGTCAATTTTTCTCTTCATACCAGAGGGTAGGTGCAATGTGGACAATGATGTCGTAATTAGTAAAATTATTTATACTAGACTAATTACAGAATGTCTTTATACATAGTATTTAAAGAATTTTTTTCATGAGACAATATTGCCTTTAGAGATATATCTTCTCCAGTAAGTATTGTCTTATGTATGCCACCCCCGCGCTTCCGCGGCCCGGGTACTCGTATATCTTGTATTAACTGAGTTTGTACTTTCAGTCCCGAGATTATTAAAGCTTCATCTGACGCAGTACTCGGTATACTGACGATAGTTTTGACTTTACCGTAGTTAACTAGACATTCATTTAAGTTTTATGGTACAAAGGCAATTATTATGAAAATAAAAAGCTTAAGGTAACTAATGTATTTAATTTAATAAGGACAAAAATCGTATTCGTCTAAATAGCTTTCCAAACTCGAAAATAATCTCTATAATCATTTTAAACATTAAAATGGTTGCTACCCATATAATATATACATATCTATGCTAACACTGACTTTTTTGTAGTCCTACTAAAGAGTAACTATACCATCATCCATTATTTGATTTTTCAAAAGAATAAGACAACATCTATATATATCTAAAACTGACAGTCGACCATATTTCAACAAATGAACAACAATATTAAACTATACACCGAATTGTTACCACGAATTGTTATTTAGCATTTGAAGCATTGCTTCAAATGCTAAATAACAATTCGTGGCTGTGGCTATCAGCCGTTTAGCTCAGTGGCTAGAGCGTCAGGCCGCGAATGCCGAAAACGTGGGTTCGATTCCCAGAGCGGTGACAATATTTTTGTATTCGAATTTGTTTGTATGCTGGAAAGGATATAAAAATAGATGCGCCAAGCATTGCTTCAAATGCTAAATAACAATGTAGAAAGAAGGCGTTAAGATTTTCGTAGCTGTGGCTATCAGCCGTTTAGCTCAGTGGCTAGAGCGTCAGACCGCGAATGCCGAAGACGTGGGTTCGATTCCCACAGCGGCGACAATCTTTTCGTACTTTTTCTACCTGTTTTAATGTTCAATCTTAAGTGCAGAGATTAGCACTATAAAAAAAACTTTAAAATTTATAAAAAGCAATGGCGACATCTCTCGTGCGAATTATCGTTGTAAAACGATATTCGAAATTGTTTGTACGCTGGAAAGGATATAACAATAGATGCGCCAAGCATTGCTTCAAATGCTAAATAACAATGTAGAAAGAAGGCGTTAAGATTTTCGTAGCTGTGGCTATCAGCCGTTTAGCTC